TTTAAGAGATATAGGTTTTTCAAATTTACCTCTTTAGTGAATTATAATTATTTTTATTATTATTGTGAGATAGTTATTATTCTTATCATCATTATTTATCAATACCATTATTATTTTATTGAAGTATTTTCCGATAGTTCAAAAATATTTCATTTGCAAAAAAAAACTATTGTTATTATAATTATTATTGTTGGTTGGAGAAAAACGAATTGTTGGACAAAAAGGCACCAATTTATTGGCATTGTTGAATCAAGTCTTTAATTCATTAGGAGCCATTTTTGGTGGAAAAAAAATGGAAATTCTAACCACCACCGCTGGACGTCATTTGACAGTCATTGAGGATACCTAAAAAATATATAATTAAAACTATTTTTCATAATATTTTATTTAATTAAAAAAACGCCAATAACTTACTAAAAGTAAGTAATTAAAATTAATTAAAATTTTTTAAATGAATAAAAGAAATACAGTAATATTGGTTCAACAGGCAAAATAATATACAGCAAAGTGCAAAAAAGGATAAATTTTGTAAATAATAGAGTTTTGCACGCATTCTTTTTTCTTTTTAATTTTTATTTAATTAAAATGCCATAGGTTTACTCTGATAATTTTAAAATGTAAAATTATAGCCGATTTGCAGTCGCAGAAGTGAAATTTCCACAATATAAAAGACATGTTATTCGCAAATGAAACCTCATACTGCCGTGGTTGACAGCAATGGCGGAGGTGTGATACTGCAAACACGGCATCTCGTTTTCCAAGGAATGTGTAAAAAACACTTTACTGGCGAACAATGTATAATAATGGCTCGGAGATAAAAGAGCAGGAGACACTCGGCTCTGCAGCAATAAATAAATTCCGCCTCCTGAAACACAATATTATACGGCGAGAGACTCGTCGGCTGAAGAAAATAGAGACGAAAAGTAATAACGCAACGAGCCGCGAGGATTTTGGGCTGAAAAATTAATGTTGCCATAAAACGCGAGCCGCATTTCCAGCGACATATTTGCATGGAACGCGCGGAATGCCTGCTTAATTTGGCGGCCGCCGGCACCCTCCGCTTATTTATGTGTAATTATGGCAGCGACTTGTCCCGGCCGAGCGGACGCATTTTCGCCCGTCAATTGTGTGTCGGATCGTCTCTCTCGTAATTTATCTTTACGGCCGCCTGTTAGCGATGCCCGGTGACAAGCGAATATTCATTTCTTTATTAAATTTTAGCAAGGATGCAGTTTGACCCCTGGTTTACGACTGTCGTCAATTTTATATCATTCGCACATTGTTCCGCGCGATATCATCTTGTGATATCATTTTACTCACGTTTCATTTTGAATAGTACAGTTAATGTATTGAGTTGAATTTTTTTCAAAACTGAAAACTATGAGAAAGAGTGTCCAAAGAGAAAATTTAAAGTTAAATTTGTAATGCAGTCAATATCATAATAAAATTCTACAAAATCTTTTCATTAAATAATAATAATTTGACTTGAATTTAACCATCAGTTTATCACGGTTATTTGCAAAAAAGTGGATAATGTTATTTATTGCAAAAGTGTTAAAACGCGTATGTAATTGTAAGTAGAAAAATAGCAATTTCTGAATTTCCACTATTTCCTGGGGAGATTAAATTTAAACACATAATTATTATACAGTTGTTTTTAATCAACAGGTGATTTCTCTCATTCAGATATAAGGCGTTTTAATTAGAAGATAATAGGAAATGATATTTTGTTGGAAAAGCTCTTTAGCGTGAAGCAGCAAAAAAAAATACTAAAAATTATATCATAACCTTTTCCCATTCTGTCATTCAAAAATCAAAATTAGATCATCGATGAACTATGAGCAAATATTTAAATTAGACAACTGAAATATTATTTTTTATTTAGGATAAAAAAAATATGTATCATAGCAAATTCGCAAATATAAATTATTATTAATTCTTCTCTCAATCAGTCGATGAAATTGATGAAAAATATTAATTAATATAAATTATAGTTGCTTAGCAAAATTAAAGAAACCTATAGTTAATGTATTAAGTTGTTGATTAATGATGGGCGATGACCATTGACTTTGTGATGCAGCTCGCGTACGGCAGTTTTGCTGCGAAATTTGCACAATCGTTAGAGCTGTGGCCGTCGCTCGATCGAAGGTACATCGTCTCCTTTCTCTCGCGGTGGTTGTTGTCGGTGGACACACAATGTGCGAGATGTGCCATGGGTGTGATGATAAAGAACAAGGCACAAGATTCAGGTGCTGTTGCTGCATGCTGATTTATCCCCGAGGCGCTCTGGCAGCAGAATGAAACAATAATGCCTCATCTCTCTCTCTGACCACCAGATCGATTGTTCTATTGTTTCACCATTTGCCCTGTGTGTGTTACCCGAGAGAGAAACAATCGAAGCATAATATATATTTATAGGTGGTGTACAGTTACAATAATTTAATTCACTGCACAAGCCCGAAAAATATACCTGACACGCATCTTTGTTGTTGTTTCCAGCAGAAAAAAAAGAGTTAAGGGAGATGAGTGTCCGGCCGGCCGACGCGCGCATTCATATAAATTAAGCATTGACGTGAGCAGAACAAACACGAAATAATTCATGCCAACACCCCGACTGTGGAACACAACCGAGAGAAAATACAAATGGCTCTGATTATAAAATTTATTTTCCTCGCGAGAGTGCAGGTTTGGTTGCCTCCCTCCCTCCCGCCGCTTTGATTGATTCCAACTACTTTTGGCGAATCACAATGAGCGCGAGGCCCCGGAATTTTTATGACTTAATTTGCGCGCATTCCACCGACTGCTTGTCGCACTTGACAGCCAATGCGAGGTCTCGATATATAATGTCACCTGACTGACCTGACGCCTTTTTCTCCAACTCGCTCCTTCCTGACCGACACGTTTGAAACACTAACTTTTGATTGATCTGATTTTTATTTAAATGTGCCGGAGACAGATTTTATTTTTATTTAATTTTTGTTCATTGCAAAAAAAAATTAATATCTGCTAAACTTAGAAAAAAGAAAAAATAATGACGCCCTGTTATACTTAAATTAAACAAATTAATAAGGATTATTGCTCTAGTGAAAAGTTTGTTGTTATTATTTTGCTACATACAAACGTGCCTAATAAATTTATAAGCTTTATTATGCGTTCCAAGATTTCACAGTCCTTAAGAATTTTTTGTGCGAGAAAGCCTTTTATATAGAGAAGACCATTTTTTTACGAAAAATTATTATTCATTTTATTTAATTCTACATGTAAAAAATGGACGAAAAATGTACTTAACTCGAGCTTATTTATTTAAAAAGCATATGTGAGCAACAAGTTTTTTGTCAAATAAAATAAGGTTTTTGTTAGATTTATTTTGATTTTTGTTTTACTAAACCTTTTTACTCTGTCATATACATATTTCAAAAATACTGGCAAGAATTGTTTTGTTACATTTTTTTTAACAGATATCGATGGAGGATATTCACAAGCTATGGCGTGTGGGATTTGCTGATGCTAACTTAGCATGAGAATATTCCCCAATATTTTTTTTATGTTCCTAGATTGGCTTAAACTTCACAATACAAAGAGGTTGAATTGACCGACTCGCAATTTTTGTCACAGGCCCTTTTAACATCTGCGACCAAGTGGCTCTTTTGTACTTATACACCAGAAAGCGTATGGTTGGCATACGAGGTTGTGCTCTTTATTGTGTTCGGCATGCATTGTTAAGCATTTCCAAGTGTTACATCGCGGTACCTTGTCAATTTTTACAGGTCATTTGCGAAAATCCGCACCAATTTTCATACCGAGACGCGCTTCAGGAAAGTCCCGCGAAGAATAAATTCCATCTCGGGGCGAAAAAAACACAGCATTGTTGTGTTTGCGTGGCCTTTCGATTTTTGAGACCTTTGAAACATGCATAATGGCGCGTGTGGAATCGCAAATTGTGCGTCCAGTTATACTCATAATGCCTGGAGAAGGTGGAGATTGATAGGAAGAGAGAATCTCTCTCACCTCCGGCGCTCTCCATCGGGGAGTGAATTTGAAAATATTTAGGCCACTTTTCTAACTCTCGGCTGTAATAATTGGATTTCCCATCTAATCAGTTTGATTAATCGCCGGTGTGGGGAACTATCGAAATTGATTTATTAAAAATTGATACGTTAAAGAAAAAAAAACAACGTGTGAGTTGAAATGATGATTTATGGGCGGGATCGCCAGGCACGGAGCAAAGAGTGTGAGGAATCAATTTGCGTTGCAAATTTGCGTGGACGGTGTCGCTTACTGGCTCGGCATCGCTATTAAAATGAGCAATTAGAACAATGGAATGCTGCTAAGAGCCTCGTTTCTTGATTCCTAGAATAAGAGAAAGGGTTGTTCTATAAAATGTTAATATGACAAGCAGTTTGCTAGATAGAAATGCATTGAAAATTAACAAGAAATGATAACAAGAAAAGTTAGAATATAAAATAATCATACATACCATACATACTAGAAAAGTATTAAATAAATAAGCAGAATAAGTAATTTGAACTAAAAGTTTTATAATTAAAATAAGTTTAAAATAAATAAATATATTTTTTTCAAAATCTTTGCTAAGTGGTGTGAGTGAATTTTTTTAACAATTAAAGAACTAAATAACAATTTTAATATAAAGTTGAACAATGAAATATTTTAAATCAAACTTAATTCTGCATTATTCAAAGAAGGTTTTAAATTAAAAAATAATATATTAGCTTAGTTTAACCAAGAATTGACCTCCCCAAGATTATTCAAACGTTTTTTAATATAATTTTAATGTTAAACACACATGAATTGAATCCAAATAAAAAATTAATAAGCTATAAAAAAGAGTCACTTAAGAGTTTATAAAAAGCACATCCTTTTACGGCAACTGTTGCACGTCAGTCAGTCTCTCCGGCGCGGCAAAAACGACGTGAGACGGACACAAGGAAAAAGAGGAAAATTAATGATAATGTAATCGTGTCTCTGTCTGCGTGTTCCAGCTTTGACTCGACGAAGTCGACCAAAGGGGCATCCAAATTGCGACGTGACCTGATTAATTCAGAGATCGCCAATTTGAGGGACCTGCTGCCCCTGCCGCCGTCGACGCGTCAACGTCTCTCGCAACTCCAGCTCATGGCCCTCGTCTGCGTCTACGTTCGCAAAGCCAACTACTTCACACAAGGTAAGAGATTTTCTTAAGTACACACGTAATTGAGCAGAGAAAACTGCATTTGCACTCGTGCAGAATGCAAATTTACGAGACGCACCTGGCCACTTCTGTGCGGCCTCAGTCCGGTGATAAGTTGCCTCATTTTGCATAAGTGCATGTCGGGAATTTCAATTCGCAGTTATTTAGCCGTCCAATCAAGTAGTTGAAATTCAATGTGAGCGTTGGAAATAATTTTTAATTTAATTGAAACTAAAAAGTAATATTTAATTGAATTTGAATTTATATTATTAAACACAAAATAAATTCAATTCCTAATTAAACAAAACGCCAAAGGTTACTCCGTGATTTGTTTCTTTCTAGTTCATGGTTGATTAGTTTTTTATGTTCAATTACAATCAGCAGTATGCATTTGTACACCATTAATCTATTATTAATCAATTCTGTCACTAACGTTTACCCAACTCTTTGCTGCACTCCTCTCCGGATTAATTATCCGTGCACAAAAACGTGCAAGACAAATCGAGTTAAAAAGTCATGATGTGAATCTAATCGCAAGTGTCTCATTTGCCGCAAATCAAAGCTCAACCGACCACTCGCTTCTTTTTTTCCGTCCCGGTGAAAAAATGGCGAAAAATCGATCCAACCGTAAAAAATTTTTCACACCGATTTTGGGTATATTCAACGGCCTTCACATTTTTCAATGTGTAAAATATAACCTTTTCTCACCGCGCGCATCGTCTTTAATGTGATTGTTAAAAATTGGTCCTTCTAAAACACGGAACAGGTCGAACACTAAAACTCCTCTCATCTCGGCTCGCTCACAAATTGGTTATAAAAAGCAGTTAATGATCACCTACCTCTTCGCTGGAGATTGTTTAAGTGCGTGTGGAAAAAATTGAACTCGGTATATGTATCGGCGCGTTTATTATTTTTTGTCCTCATCGACCTGCCCCCATTAAAGGCCAAGCGGTGAGAATTTAACTCTATGACCGTTTAATAAGTATAATCCAAGTGTGATTACAATATTAGCCCACAAACGAGAAAAATATAATTCTTTGCCGGCTAGTCGTTTTTAATTATAGAGACCCTTTAACGCTCTCACTCTTGTATTTATAATCCCTATTTTCTTAATAAACTGCTCAACCCAGCTCGTTTCTCTAATACTTAATTTTTGTAAAATCCAACTGGCGTGTTTCACGCGTGTATTTATAACAAACAAACTCGCAACTCAACGAATGTTCAGGGCATAAATAAAATTTTTATTCAGCTCCAGCGAGGCACCTGTTGCAAAAACTGACCTCTTGTCCGAGCGGCCTTTTAATTTAATTTTATGATTTTGCGGTCGCTCGGTCGGTTGATTTATTTCGCGGCTATTTTTCAGCCTCTTGTCGGCCATTAAAGTCTCTGGCGGGCAAAGAGACGTCAGGAAATTAGCAAATTGTCGGTTAGATTGCTCATTAGGGGGCGGTGAATCCCACGCGCGGCACAGCTATGGGTACTTGGAGTTGTAAAAAATTGAGGAAAGTTCGTTCATTCTGCACTTCAGCACTCTCTTCTGCTAATTACTTGCTAAAATGAGCGTTTATGAATTCATGATCGTTATATGAAGAGCCTTGTTAATGCGGTTAATATAACGCTACATAAAAGGCCACGTGCGAGCATATAATTTTCCCTTGAATTTTTAAACAGTGATATTTGTTCAATTAATATCGTAAAAAATCTGGGATAAAGTCTGCGTTTTATTTAAAAAGATAAAACCTTAAAAATTTGAGCAAAAATTAATAAGCTAAGTAGAATAAAGTTTTTTGTGGACTATATAATCAAATTGAAGTACTTATTATAAAAGGAATTGGTCAAACTTTTTTAAGTGAAATAAAAACAAATTAATTTTCTCTAAAGAAAATGTTCAGACTTGCATTAAAAAGCAAATTACACTTACGCTTCAAAACTTTCCTCCGTCCTGGCACAAGACAAGCACATAAATTCATAGAAGGCATGCTAAGTTAATTAATCAGCATGAGTCATACAGGTTGTTAATTAAATTTTTTTAAATGAAATTTAAATCAGGTTAACTTTTCCATCTCATCCTAATTCGACTTAAACTAATTAAGTTAATGCACAAGGTTCTTATTTTCTTAATCGTACCGTAGAGTCGTTTGATTTAAAAGGAAAGAAAGCAATTATGTATAAATGATCATAGAAAGCCGCTGATTCAATTATCGTTGCCCAAAAGGGATAAATGGTATTGAGGGATAAAGATTCCGTTTGCCTACTGATGCATTTTTTGCGCAGAGGAAAATACATAATTGGATCATAAATATGCGATCGGTATATAAACAATACTATCATTATGGATGCCCTTTCATACGAGCAATAAAAACGTCGGCTGATTAATTCCAGCTTCTACAAATCCATTCCCATAAGTCCCGGCCGTTTTTTTGCCCTGAACAATAAACAAAGAAGACCGGCCACGAGAGAGAGACGACCGAAACCTACCTCAATTGTGATCCACAATAAAAATTATCATTTCAAAGCAGCAGCCAGCCATCAGGCGGCGGACGAGAAAGATATATCCTGCTCACTTTTATAAGTAAAATAAACGTCGGCGGCATCTCTTCCGCGATTACGACGGAGATAAATAATTTATGGCACGATTTAAGACACTTCAACATCACTTTAATAAAATCTCCCCGGCAGACGCGAGTGTGCAGCAATAATAAAACCCGCAATTGTTTTTACCCAGACGCTTGATTTATACTTTGATTGAGACTGACAGCCGCTCTCGCAGCATTTCGGGAAATTTATTCGCCTTTTTTTATTTGTCTCTTTTCTGCCATGTGCTGACTTTGGTTTTTCGCTCTGCTCACCGCCCGAATAGGATCTACTACAGAAAAGTAACCTTGAGTCGGTCCATGTATACTATGTAATGGGCCGAGCGCAAGAAAAGCAGCGATATAAAGTGAGTGAGTCCCTAGCTGGTAAAAGTTCCGGCTCGACGCAGCGCCAAGCACAGCCGGATCTGTTGTAAAATGATTTGATGATGTTAACCCCTCGGAGCAGCTTGAGCAGAAAAAAACTCGAGCGAGAGACGCTGGTCGTCCCCGCGCCCGCGAATTTTAATTACCGATACAGTTACCAGCCGCGCCAAATCCAATTACGACATATTGTGCCAGAGCTACCGCCGACGCGGCTTGCAGATTCACTTTTCCTGCGCTCGTAGCATCTTCTTCAGAAAGGCCCTTCTTTCTTTGGCGCACTCACAATGCAACATTTGATTCATTTAGCCACTTGAACGAATTCTTAAAAATTCAATAAGAATAAAGCAGCATGTGTTTGGTCTCAAAATAGCTATATTCTGACTTCATTTTCATGTAAATGTATGTAAATATACTCAATTCATATAGAGTTTGTTTTGAGAAATTAAAAGAAGATCGCGATTTTTTTTTAAATGGAGATAATGAGAAAATAATTGATTTTAATATTAATGCTGTATTCTTTTCAGTTTAATTTTAAATAAAAAGTGTTATATATCATTGTTTTTTATAAAATTTTTTGAATTTAATAATAAATTATATTGTGTACTAATCAAATTTATTAATTACTGTTTTTTTGGTTGTAAGAGTTTAAAATTTTCAGTAAAAATAATTTAAATTGATCTTATACTTTAATGTAGTATACTTACACATTTTGCCACCAAAAAATGTTTGATTACAATGATTTTTATAAAAAAAATATTTATGCGATGCAGTCAAATTTTGGAAGCATGATTTAAAGTAAAAATGAAATTCTATCATATATAGATGACACTTTGATGGTTTGAAATTAAATTGAATTGCACAATTAATTATGTATTTAAAAGTGTCTTATATATTTTCTCATTTTCGTTGCTCATAAATGCATATATGTATATGTATAATGACTTTATTTTACACTCATTCAAACACAAGCAACAAGGATGTAACACACATGAAACTAGATTAGGCAAACCTTCAGACAAAATTATCTACCCACCTCTTTTATTCTCAACATTCACTTCCCCATTGTCCATTTTGCCGCAAATTCGGCAATAAAAGGGTTATAAGGTTTCCTCTCCTGTTGTAAATCATTCCGACCCGCGATTATGCTGTCAGGCCAACGTTTCATGCTCGACTTGGCCGTTTGTTTATTTACTCTCGTGCGTGATTATTCTCGATTTGAATATATATATAAAATTTCAACTTTTTTATTTTGTTGAAAAGTGGACAGGCGCGTCTGTACAAAAAAGTGGGAGCTGAATATCGAATGGAGCTTGTTTAACATCTTTATCAGCGCATTTTACACTCATGAATATATACCAACTAAGTGGAAACGCACACCGCGCGACTCACTTTTATTTCAACCATTCTTTCCCCTGCCCTCAGCGGATAAATTGCAGCTCGCGTTTTTCTCGTGAAAAAGTATCGCGCCGTGTGTGACCTTTATTAACGGCCGGCGGTAAAATTTATGGCATAAATACACTGAAACCCGATATCAAGACGAAATGAACTTGTAAATAATGGTTTGAGTCCATAAATTTCGCAGCGAGAATCAACGTTCTACTGATGTAAGACGAGACTGATTTCAGCCCATATAATCTAATTTTTAATGGGATAAACAGACACTTCAACCTTCAAAATTGTATGCTGTAAATATCAGTTTTTGTGATTTTATAGCACCTAGAATAAAATAAATTATAAAATTAAATAAAAATATAAAAGAGGATCGATAAACTCAATTGTTTTATGTGCAATACTAAATACTTGAGATACGAGAGGAAATTTGCTTATCAGGCGTTTAATGTCAAGATTTTGGCGCAGATGTATTTTTAAAGCTTTTCTTTTTTTTTTACAAAAATGTTACTTGTCGAAATTTACTCCAACATAACATAGATTTTGGATGTAAAGAAATCCCAGGCCTCATCATTTAAAAAGTACTGAGGAACGGAAATAAAAAATGGTCTCGTGCGCAGACGAAAACAATCAGTTATGAAGAGAGATGGTCTCTGAAAAGAAATTATATTATTTATCGGCTGAAAGTCACTTGAAAAATCGCCCGACGTCAGCGAGCGCGCGCCTCTTTTCATCTCGCCGCACGCTCGATTTTATATAAACTCTCCGATAATTAAAATAATGAGCCCTTAGATCTTTGAAGAGAGAGAAAAAAAAGAGTCGAACGTGCGTCGGAGGATGGTGAAGAGAATTATTAAATTGCGAACGGGAATGTGTCCTGTAATAAAATAATAACACGCAGCTAGGCAGGCAGGCGACAGTATTATTATTTTCTTTCTTTTTCTCCGGTGCTGCGATTAGATTTAATGATAAGAGTAGCATCTTCTTCTTCTTCTCGGTGCGCGCAGCATCTCCACGGCTAGGGGAGGAGGGTCAGGAGCAATGAACCGGATTCCTCCGCGCGCGAGCTCCACAGATCTGCGCTGCTCCTCTCCCTCCCACACCACCCCCTTTTCCTCCCACACTCTCTCTCTCTCTCGTGGTGCCATCATCTCGTAATAAGGAGATCGCTCGCTGGCTGCCCGCTCTAGCTTGATTTTCTTTCACGCTGGACCACTCTCACCCAGACACGGACTGGCCGCCGCCGCTGGCCGTTTTCGCGCGCTTTCTTTGCTTACGACTGCCCTAGGGGTGGCTGCTGCAATTTGCGCAAAAACGGAACGTGGGAACGCGCGGACGATTTCGCAAGCTTTAATTGTCGTTTCAGGCTAATTTGCAGTTTTCTCAGAAAAAAATTGAATTAGCCAACAAATAACTACAATAAAAAGTAGCACGCACAGAAAATCTGTTCCAATTATTGTTCAATAATTTAGGAAAACAAAACACGTAAATCATTCCCTGGCATAATTTTAACGATATTATGATTATAAAAATTTAATTTTCCACAATGAATGTGCAAAATACATTTAATTTAATGTTACAGTTAAAAAAAATTTGCAATGTGAAAATTAAAAGCTTAAAAATCCTCTCCGGTCAAGTGTATTGCTCTCTATTCTGAAAAATTTTTATTGATTATAATAATATTTCAGAATTTCAAATTTAGATTTTAAAAGGTAACAAAGTACATTGATGATTTTTGCATTTAGCGTGAGAAAATTAGTCCACTTTATAAACTTTAATTCATTTAAAAGAAAATTTTTTAATCTAACAAGGTTGCAGTAACACTCATTATTACTCCTCCCCTAATATTCTCACTGACAGGGTGAAAATGCAGCCCGTTGGTCTTTTGTGCAGAGCGCGTTGCATACGTTCTCGATTCCTGCCCATCAACGTTTTCTAACTGACGTCCCAGTTTCTTGCTCCACTTTCCACCATTACAATAAATTTTCCTCAATGTAAATTATCTGGAATTCAATTGCTCCGTCACGTCGCTTGTAAAGAAAGAACCTTAAGTGTGTATGTGCAACGTCTGAATGTTATTATTTTAACGGCGCGAATAATTTATTTTTCCCAATATATTTATTACGCATATTAAATTTTACGATTTGCAATTAGTGCTACCACACGTAAGACTTTATTTTTTCCAAATTATTTATTGCGGTCGGGAATATTAAATTTATTGATTATTCTCTTCACTGGTTGCGAATTTTAATGTCCGCCTTTGTAACATGTACAAGTCTCTGGACGTGCTGCTTTTTTATTTATTTTACCTTGGGTGAGAAAAATAATATACGACAGTCCGGGCCTGCGCCTCCGCACAGAAATGCAGTCGTTCTCCTTTTATATAATTACGATTATTATTACTACGGTGACTTGATTGAGGGTCTAGAATGCATTCATAAAGCCGTACCTCCCGTGTCTATGTGTATCTATAGACGTCCGATTTTTATTTATGAATGTATAATGTGTATTAACGTTGCAATGTGAATCGTATTTGGAGAACGGTACCTGATGGAGCGCGACGGCAGATGATTTTTTCTGCCGCCGCGAGCACAAATGGCCAAGCTTTTTAATAGAACGTATGCTAAATTAGCGCCTTAATGCAGAGTCGTCTTTCACACGCCCCCACTTTGCGTGCATAAATCATCTGCCAGCGTTTTTTCGCACGCTAATGAATGTGCTGATGTGACACTAATAAACGAATAAACGTTGGCAGAGGAGCAACCGGGTTGCTCGAAATTAACAGAGTATATTGAACCATAAAATGTTTTTCAATAATGCAATAATAATAATTTTTCTCAATAAAAACTATTGATTGACAAATGTTACAGTATCTTACGAAAATATTAATTTTATTTCACTTGCTTGATTCAATTTTAATGATGAAATATTAGATAAAAAAAAATTGATAAAATGCAAAATAAATTTAACATTCAATATTAATTTCCTTGATCACTGAATCTAAACTTTTTTTACATTTGTTTCAAGATATTTTCTTTTGAGTCATCACTCGCCACTTGCTTTGCCAGATTTTTAAGATGACATTTTTTGTGTTTCTGCTTTATTGAACCCAATTTGAACAAAATTTCCTCCTCCAGAAATAGCCGAGGGAGCTTGTAAAAGTATCAGCAGTTGACTAATTAAATCGTTCAGCAGGTTGATTGGCCATTGATGGTGACGCCGACGATTTTGCATTGTTTTTGCAGACGCGGAATGCTCCAGTGGTTTTCTTTGCTCTCGCTTCCTCTCCCCGGCTTGGCAGCTTGGTGCGAATATTTCTCGCTCGGTACCCTATTTAGGCCGAAATTCATGGTGCTTACACCGAGTGAGCAAAAAAGCGAATTCACGAGAAATTCCCGCTGAATGGCTGCTTAATCTCCGTTTCTCACACTGGCGGGCGGTTCCCCGCGACTCGCGATTAATAGAGGCACCGCTTTGGTGACAACAAATAAATGCCCCTAGCTGGTTCAGATGCACTGACCGGATTCTCCTTTTCTGCCGTGCTCACCGTTGCGTTTCAATGAATGATGCTGCAATATTTTTCGATAACTGTCATCCGCGACGAAGGGTTTATCTGCGAGAAGTGCTATCGGATAAAAATCTTTCCGGAGACGGCGCGAAACCAAAAGTTACTATTGAAATTCGATTCGACCGCTTGACAATAAAGGAAACCGAGCGCCCAGATCGACGTATCCCAGCAAAACAATGCCCCATTCTTCCATATAATCCACACACTTTGACCCTGGCGTCGCCCGAAGTAATTTTTCACTCTTCGATGCGCGCCCAGTGACAGCCGTTTCATTTTTCCACTGCTGCCATAGGAGTCGCTTGATATACCGTTGATTGAAACTGATCAGATAATTCGCGGAATTCAATTTATTTTAAACTTGTTGCGATATTAGGCAATACAACATTGTATACCGTGAAACTTTTCTTGGAATATTTTTTATATTTAAATTTTTATTAGTTATTCTCAACAGAATTTTTTTCCATGCAACTTTAATAAATTTTCTCATGAAAAAAAACGTACTTATCTAATTTTTTAATGTTTGCACGACCTTTCAATCCCCAAACTAGATCATTTAAACAAAAGAAAGTTCACAGACCCCATATTGCTATATTTCATTTGTTGTTGTGAAACCATCAGTTTAGATAATGTTTAACGCTTGATTGATGACTGATAATGTGTTTTAATTTATTCCAAATACAAAACGTGATCTTCCTTTGACGATCTAATCTCGTTTTCAAACTCATAAAATAAAACTCCATTACCTTAAACACACACTCACTCACACACGCATTAGACATCTGTCATGAACCTCTTTTTGAAACTAAACGTTTTTTTCCGTTCTATGTTGCAGTGTTCAAGAGACAAGACTTAGGACATTTCCAAACACCCAACATCGGCTTTTCCAAGGTGAGTCCAGCACACACGCAATCAAAAAGCTCCGCGCGTCTTCAATCAAATCGTAATTTCGATGTAATTTGCTCATATGCGTCCCAAAATTATTCCGCCAGCAAAAGATGGAGGAATTTCCTCTCTTTCTTTGGCGAGAGAAGAGGCGCGTCGCGTCCCAATCTACTCTCAATCATCATTATTTCCGTCGACATAAATTACACCGGCCGGGAAGGAAAAATTTAGATAAAATTCCCGACATTATTATTGATACATCTGGCAGTGCCAGGCCTCTCCGCCTACAATTATGTTATCAAAAGATCAATAATTATTTTTCAACCGCCGCAGCGCGCATTTGGGGCCAGAGTTCAAGAGTAAAAAACAAATTATGCGAGAGCAGCTTATATTTTGCTCAAGATTCTTTTTAAAGTTTAATGTTACAAATCACAAACTTTTAAGTGCATCTAAAAAACAATTTTTATAATTAATTATAAACCAATATTTTTATTTCATTTTAAACCACTAATATTTCATTTAAAGATAATTATACATTGATTTTTATAGTACTTTTGTATAAAGTTTTAACGAAAAGAATGTAATTTTTCAAACTTAAAACAAATTAATAATTTTTATAAATCTTTATATATTTTATTTATGGGTTTGGCATGGCTTTGTGTGCATATTTATAGATATAAATTATAATTGTTCGCGCCAGTTGTTGATATCTTATTGCATTCAGGGTAAAGTACTCTATAAAATAATAAATTTAGAAAATTGAAAATATGGAGGGCAAAATGTTGCCAGTATCAATAAAATAGGCATTTTTTTTTTGTGATTTTTCTTGCCGCAATGCAAAATGAGGCAGAGAAAAATTATAAAAGTAATTCTTTCTAGAGATGAAAAAAAAATTATAGTGCGCTCTGAAGATAATAACGAAGGAATCGTATCAAAAATTGTGGGAGGAGGTTAATGCACATCGGCGGATGATACACGATCAAATTGGATCATCACCATCATTTAGAGGAAAAAAGTTCGTGACATAACTGTAGAGCGGCGCGCGGTGCTACACTTTAAATGCACTCACTCACTCACTTCGCTCGGACTCGAACTTTCTTGCTCTCGACGGATGATTTATCGCGGTGGGGGAGGATAGGAACACCGAGATTCCAATCTGTGCTCTGACCTCTCGCAGGTCAAGAGGTCGTGGGAAGCCCCTCCTCTTTTAGCATCCTTCCGAGATGCATCTCGGGCGGCCCGAGTCGTCGGCGGCAACACATAGTACAGCATCTCGTGCAGCGAACGCAGTTAGACACAGTCCGGTGCACGCTATAATAAAATTAGCTTTTATTGCTATATCCAGACCAGAAACACACACACACGTTAGCGGTAGCTTGTATGTGTGTTTTTTGCGACCCCTTTTTTCTGTGTTTATATTCCGAGAGCTCTCTGCTTTTTGTGGTAATTGGAAATCGGAAGGGTTTTGTGGGAAAACGTTGTCAAAACGCAAATCGGCGGCGGCGGCGGTTTTATTGCCGTGCGCCACGGAGACTTGAACGCGCCTGTGTGTGGCGTGTTCCGACTAATGCTCCTCAAACGCCCCTGCTTTCGCGTGTTTCTGTACTTTGTAAGGTCAGGCCAGTGACTTAATGTATGTATGAAAGTGACCTGATGATCTCTCTTTGTGCGGCGTAAAATTTCCTATACACGTTCTCGCTGCGCTCTCGGAAATTTGTGTTTCAGAATCAAGTCATCAACCCGTACTAACATCCGTATCCAATGCGGCGAAATTTTTTAAGTAAACATATTTTCTTTTGACCAACGCGTTCCGTGTTTTGAATGAAAATAGAAGCAAAAAAATAATTCACGGTTCTAAGAAATCCGCAGCAAATTGGCTTAGGAATAAAATGAAGAGTTTTATTTCTCCCAATTATTACAGGCTCCTCTCATTATCAACAATACAAAGTCGGGCTTTCTCCTTTGAGACTAAATTTGTATTATGGCAGCACTAAAAAATAAGTTGAATAAAATTTTATTTCTATTTGGTTTTAATATCATTTTGAAAATAATGTTTTAACTTGGAAAGACATGCACCACTAGAGTAAATTTACCAAAATAGAAAACGTTAAGCGCAGGATGAAAAAGAAAAATATTTTTGATGAAAATTATAAGATAGCTTATATAATTTTTCGAATGATTCTGTGATTCCCTTCTTAATTAAGTGATTTGAATCCTTGCTTCTTGTTCAATTCTATCTGCTTTAATAATAAAACGTATAGCTGACAAAATTACCTCTGAAATAATAACTTTTTTATAAAGTATTTTATTGAGAAAGAAATTACAAGTCCAGCCAACTCCAGGTGGAGTTATCGGCCGGTGCTTATGTGTAACTGGGGAGCAAGACTTAATAGCCAAGCACTCCAGTTCTATGCTCTTATTTTACAAAAATCTGATTTCAAGTTATTATTTACTGCTCGTCGCAATTTTATTTTATTTCAATTAAACTTAATAAATTTAGTAGAGGTTAAATGAAGCCTTAAATAAACAGGAAAACCTTCAATAAAATTTCACGTCTTTTTTCCAGGCTCTCAGTGGCTTCCTGATGATGATGACTCAGAATGGCAAACTGCTATACATATCAGACAACGCAGCAGAATATCTTGGACACTCAATGGTAAGTGAAACTGTCAAATATTCTACCTTTGTGCTCGCCGAGAGTGGCAAAACTTTTATTATTATTATTTTACCATTCCAACGCAATAAAAACTAACATTTTTATTGGTGAGAAAAATGAGGCAAAGAACGAAAAATTCATATACGCTTCGAAAATATTGTTGCTTGGCACTGGAAACTTGCTTCTCACCGTTGTTGTTGTTGTTCTGTGGAAGAATCCCATTATGAAACTTTCATTACAAAAGCAACACTATATGAGCCGGGTGATGCTGGAAGAGAGTGCATTTTTCGTCAGCCTTGTTGAGTCCATTTTCCATGGAGCACGCGGAAAGTGCCTCGTCACCATAAACTGGCAGCAAAAAGCCGCGAGTGTGTGTGTGTACATGCATACAAACTGAATTAAATTAGGCACAAAGCGAGATATGGAATTTTTCATAGAAAAAATCTGGAGTATTAAAAGGTTTAGTGTGCCATGAAGCGAGCACTAGTGAGATAGAATATATGGTGACATGCATGTTTCTGCTGGTCGACGAACGCACTTCGGTCATCCAGCAGTTTAATTTAAATTCATGCGAGAGCCACGAAAGTGACGAGGGAAGAGGGAATAAAGAACATAATGCAACAATGGTGACACGCACAAAAAGCGGAGAATTCTCTTGGTCGGACAGTCGGCTGAGCCAACGCGTTAATTGACCGTTTCATGAAAAAGCGAGGTGATGCGGGGCGCGCTGTGAATCTCAATTAAAACCGGCTAACGTGCGCCCATCGCAGGCTCTCATTCTTAAAAGAATGATGAATTATTAATAAATAATATAACAAAACAGAATAATATTGAGAAGGAAAACAGATTTCACACTAAAAAATACAAAATTTTTATGTATAAAATAAGAAATTTTCGTATTATTTTAGTATCACAATATTTTGTTAGTAAAATTATTCTTCAGAAAAATATTTAATATTTCAATGCAAAATAAAATGATGATATTTTATACTGATTTATTTTGTATAAATTTTTTAAATACACGATTTAATATTAAAAAAAAAAAAAATACGGTCTACAAGTATATCTATTCTTTATTATTTATATTTGTATGTAGAAAAGTGTAGAAAAGATGCATTATTATAGCTACGTCTCTTCAACAAGTGTGTTTGTGCAAGGCAAGGATAAAAAGGTTCAAAGTTCCCATTCGAACGGTTCGTTTTTCCACTCAAAGTGAGTGCATGCAGCACGTTCAATAATAAGGAGTTTAATAAGTAAGCTGCCGCGCGCAAATTGGCGTTTAACCCGAGATCAAATGAAGTCTGAAGCGCGTTTTATTAAAATATAGCCGGCGAGCGCCCATAAAATAACCGTGCACGGGGCAAAAGACCTGACGCCCATTTTTAATTACGCCTGCCCTGCATGACACTGGCTCGACAATGACACACTCCGCTCAGCTCCCTATTGTGCGATAATTTATGGCGCCAGAGTTGGTTTTTTTGCTGGCAAAATGACAAAAAAGCCTGGCGCTGTTTAGAGCGAGAGGATATTACGTTTCTGCTCTCGGCGCGAGAGATGCATGTTCGGAAAGGGCTCTCAGGAAACATTATAATAATAATCGTCTTATACGGCTTCCCTCTGGCGAAACAGCACGTGCGCCGGCCGCGATTTTCTTTCTTGCTCGCCAAGCGCGCCAGCCCAAGATAGATGCTCAGGCGTATCACAAAATAATCGCGGCTGTTATAAATTATGCACCCTGTCTCATCGGTCCAACATCGGACGCTTTTTATCGACGCACAGAGCCAAGAGAGAATAAAATCATCCGTGTAACTTGATGTTGGTGCTCTGTTGAAACAAAAACAGGGTATTTTTCTTCCTCATAAAATCGGCTCATAAACCAGTTTTCAATCAGAGTGGGCTATTTATAGCAGGGAAATTCAAAAAGTGAAAGTATTTCTTGTATACAAAAGAACAAAATCAATATCTACAATAGTAGAAATTTTAACATAAGCTTAGATTTTTATTTTCTTTGATAAAAACAAATAAAAAGTTATTAATCGCTGAAACGACCCGTCAATAAATGACGAGCGTCATTTTATACAAAAAATTATTCCTAAATTGTTGATCTATTAATTGAATTTTATTTGACTTCAAACATTTTTGAGCAGAGCTTTTCAATAAAAACAATTTTTTTTACCTATTTTATTTGGAAATGTCCACAACATCAGAATCTGGTGATATTCCAGCAATAATTTTGAGATATTCCAACAATAATTTCATTTTCAATTTATTTTCCTTGACACGCATTTCAATTTATTGAACGATTATTTTTTATCTTGAATCCGCCTAATTAGGTAGATTCAACTTCAGTTCATTTAATTACTGCTGCAATGAAAGATAATAAAACAATGGATTAAACGAGCTTAAAATATTATAATAAAAAGTTTAATGTTCGTTTTTACTGCCTTTTTTATATGTCTGCCCATAGTATCATATTATGCGCAAAGGTATAAATTTGATCCCCTAACAAGAGTAAGCGCACCGAGAGCAAAACCAAAAAAAGAGATTATTTGCGATCATTGCTCACAAGACCCATCCATTCAAAAGCAGTATAAATTTTTAGTGCCGTTCTTTGTGCATATTTTAAAGGTGGTCATTTATTTTTCTGAACCCCACACACAAGAGCAAGAGCAGAACAATGAAACATTAACTCTTGTTCCTTATTGCTTGTGCCCCACAACAACACACTCACATCTGCTGGCCGTGGTTAAAAAATGACCCTTTTTTAAAGAATAGCTCATCTCGTCTCAAATATCATTTCGGACGAAAATAAAATATATTTGTCTGCAAACAAACACGATACGCGATTTGGTAATGACTCAATGCTGAAAAAATTTTGGTGAACCGCCCGCGGCCAAGTTATTCGTGCAATAACTGGGTTAACGCATTGTTCTGCGATCGTAAAACGCAAATTCTCATGGGAAAATCTGTTGGTTGTAGGAGGACCTGCTGATCCACGGCGACTCGGTGTTCGACATCATCGATAAGCAAGATCACGCGTCCATCCAGGCAGAGCTGTCGAGGGCCACCAACAGTCTCGAGGATGAGGAACGTCTCTTCCTTTGTCGCATGAACGTTTCCAGGAATGCGCGCAGGCAAATGCGCTTTGGAGATCAAAAGGTATAAATAACACTTTTCAGGCTTTACAATTTTATTGCACGACTTTTGCGCACTTTTGTCTAATAATTATACAAAGAAAAGACGATTTGAATTGACATTTGTTGAGCAGGTTGTGTTGGTGCAAGGGCACTTTCTGCACTTGCCGCCGAGTTTGTGTCCGAGGCAGCAACCGGTGTTTCTGGCGCGGTGCACACCGATCGCAATGCCCGAGACCAGGGAATGCGTCGTTCAGGGATCCACGTCTGTGTTCACCACTGTGCACGCCATGGACATGCGGTTTTTGCACGTCGATGTTAAGTAAGTAAATTTAAAAACAGTAATATGAATGTAAAAAGTTATTCAAAATAATTTCAATAGTAAAATATTTTACTTTATTTTTTATTTTTACTACAATAATTATTTAAAATATATTAAAATATTTTGACTTCATTAATTATGTGCGTGTAGTGTGCTGGAAAGAAAGTAAATTTTAGTTATATCAGCCTATTAACGGGTTCAATGATAATAAAATTACTTCGTTTTTCATAATTTGGAGCTGCATATAACTTTCTAAAATAAAATCAACATTTTAATTTTTTAGTAATTTTGTGAATTTAATCAGGCTAAAATTATTATGAAATTCAATTTGATTAAATCTTTTCAGTGGAGAGTTCCACTTGGGATTCCAAAGGAGAGAACTTCTTGGCGCTTCTTGGTATCAATTGCTACATTGGGAATCTCTCAGAGATGCACAAGGGAAGCACCGCTTGAGTGAGTAGACGCAATTTTTTTATATTTCGATTTCAAAAATTGTAAAACTGTTTTTCTTGCGTTGCAGTCACTCAATCAGAGCAAGAAAAATCGTGCATTCTGCTAGTGCGTTTGCAGCGAAAAAAGGGCGACTGGGTTTGGCTGCACTGCGTGTTGCAGGTGAAGGACAGTCTGGACCACACACAGCAAGGGAACACACAAACGCACAACAGCCCTGTCATCGTGTGCACTAACCAGGTTCTCAGGTGTGTGTAAACGTCAATCGCGTCTTTTTTTAGCGCCGTTTTCTATTTATAATCGCCACAGCAAAATCTTGTTTTGAACTTATTTTAATGTTCCCTTCATTAGCGACCGAGAGGCTGTGGTAATGCGCGCCAACCCGTGGCTCTACCAGTATTACACTGTACACTCTAAATTGCAATTTGGTCTCACTGCCTACGAGGCGCCGCAACAGGCATCGCGTCTGCCAACGACGCCGATGTCTGGCAACCCCAACATGGGACAGCAGCCTTATTATGCCAACACTGGTTCAGGTAAATAATCACATAAATGGAAGAATAATGTAAATTCATATAACTTTTGAAATAAAATTTTTAACTTTGATAATATTTCATTTACTATTAGATTTAATATTTGTAGATTAAAAAAAAATGCATAAACAAATTATGTAGTTCAGTCTAATAAATTCAGAAACTCGGAATTATTTTTAAAATAATCATTTCTGATTTCTGCAAAAAGAAAATAAAAATTTACAATACAAAAATAAATTATTTAAAAAAAATTTTGAGTGAATTTCAACATTATTAATAGAACGATTATAAATATGTTTTTGTTTTTAATTTTATAGAAATTTCTACAATTTTTTTCAGGTCCAGCCACTCCAATTTCTGGTCTCAATACATCCCACCATCTGGGGTCAGGGTTGACTTCCTATGACGGAGGCGGCTACGTCCACCAGACGCACCAAAACCCCGACTCACCCTTGAACCAAAACCTTGAGCGCAGCAGCTACCTGAACATCAACAACATTTTCAACCTGTCCCTTTCCAAAACTTTTGCCAGCAAAGCCACCTTACAGTCATACGAAGAACTTGGCGGTTCGACCAGTCTTTCGACCTCCGAAAGTCCGGACAATGAGGCGGCGCTGCGGGCGCACAGCTACGGCTGCTACAGCGAGAACGGGGTCACCCTGACCGTGCTGCGTCCCACCCCTGGCATCACCAGGTCGCGGAAATTTCTTGCCACCAACTCCTACCACGAACTGAGTCCTCCATACTCAAGCAACGAGAGTTCGCCTGTGCAGAAAGTTCCTGATGTGGACGTGTTCAACTTCGACAAGAGCTGCGAGCAGTCCGTCCCTGGCAGTCCGGGCCTCTACAGGGTGTCTCCAATCACCAGAAACAACAACCACCTGATAAAACCACCCCTTACGCCTGAGGAAACGACCACCTCTGGTATTTAAATTTTTATACAGAAAAAAATCAGCTATAATTTGCCCAAAAGTTAATTGTAAATTTTTTGTTACATGTTATGTTTTTTTTCCAGAATCAGAAGCAGAAGACAAAAAAGACATTTTGCGTTTTTGACTTTGCTTCCTATAGATCTTCACCTTCAGGTAGCCCACCGTGCGTTTAATGAATGTAAAAATCCAAAAATATTCATAGTTTTTTCGTAAATCATTATTTTTTAATGTATTTTTTGAGAGCATTATTTTTTGTAATAATTTAGCACTAATTTTAGGAGGAAAAGTATGCAAAAAAGTATGACACATTGTCAGACCATTTGTAAGATAATTAATACAATATTAACATGAAAATAAAGCAAAGGTTATTTTATGTTTATTGATAATTTTTTTTTTACCATTTTGGCAATATCTTTCAACTATTACAAACATTATTAATTTAAAGTGATAATTATTTAAATGATTCATGTGTCCATGAAATAATTTATGTCGCATATAAAAATTGTTCAATCCATTTTTTTAATTTTGCAAGTTGCAAACATAGAGCAATATTGTAGTTGTGATCTAATTTTTACACTAATCTTTATAAGTTGTCTTTTATAAATATTGTGCTATGTATTAATTTAAGTATGTATGTGAATATGTTTTCATTGAATATAATTATCATACCTTGAAATAAAAATCCAAAGTTTACGTTTCAAAATATTTATTTGATTGACTCTGCAATACAACACACTACAAGCATTGCGTGCAATTGGTACTTAATATAATTCATTACTTCTCTAAGCATCTATAGAATTTGGTTTCAATAAAGATAAATACATTATTTTTCATATTATGGTAACTGTGTTTTTTTTTATCTAATAACTGCTTGTATATTCATAAGGTTCTGCATTAATATGGTGTATATTACTTTAAAATGGCTCTCAATCAAGAGCTCATATTTTTTTCTGCAAAGGCTATACTTTATGTAATATTCAGTAATATTATAAGGGCAATTCGGTATTTTATGCAGGCATTGGTGCACAAATGGTCCAATTTCAAAATTCCGCAAAATTCATAATTATAAAACTTTTAAGTTGTCGTAGGCTTTTGGTACTCGAAAATAATTTTGCAAGCTGTTGCAAAATTTTGATATGATTTTGTAAAAAGAACAATTAATAAATATGGTGCTTTTTTGCTATTTTAAATTTTTAAATTTGAATTCCAAAACGACTAACTTGGTTATTTTTCTTTTGATTGTCATTGGAACTTCTACACGTCAACACAAAGAAAGCACACTATAATAATGTTTGTATGACTGGATTTTGCACCACACACTTAACAAGAATATTTATGCTTAAAAAATAAATTTAACGTGAATAATTATAAATATAATATGCACGTTCTGTGTAACATCAAATCGCTAAAATCTTGAACAATAAAACAATTATGATTATTCATGAGTGTTTAAAAAATTATGATATGATACTTTGTGCTGAAGAAGTGGAAGTGAATATTTGTCTCTATTTCTTTTTTTAAAACAATTAGGCTAATTTATGAAATAGTTCAAAAGAATTCACCACAATAGGGAGAAAAGTAACGTCAACTCACGATAAAAATATTTATAAGGCAAACCAATAACGTTTGATACAAGAATTTTTGTCCTGTGAGGACTCAAAAATTTTTCTGCCTAGCTCTAATGTTTAGAAAGTATTGGGGAGTTAGAATGGATAGCGTTTTTCATAAGATTTTTGTGTCAATAGACAACAACAGCAATATAAGGCAATATTATTGTTTTGCTATTCTCTTAATCAGGGTCTCTGACTTTGCTGGGCCATTTCACATTTTCCGAAACCAGGGATTTTGTGGTTGCTATTCTCGAGTCAGAAGGATAAATATATCTCATAAGCCTAAACGATATTGGACCCAAAATACATACACTCACTACAATAAACAAAGAGTGAATATATACGACTCGCGTCTAAAAGAGCCATTAAAATTATTATCCCAGAAGTGCTGATACATGATAAAAATCACACTAAAGTGGAAATATTGTATAATGCCCATCGCTCTCACAACCGGCAAAACAAACGAGAACTTAACGAACACATTGACTATAATGTAACATAGAGACAAACAAAACTTGGGGCGCGTTTTAAATGAGTAAATAAATCGCTTTTTAAAATCTTTGGCTGCCCACAAAAATGACGCTTAAAATGAGGATCGAATTAAAAAAATGACTGCGTGAAATTTCACATTCAGTGCAACAACAACACATGGCGTGGGCTAAAATTATGAATAGGAAACGACAAAAAACAAATGTGACTAAAAAAAATATACCAAGATAGATTGATTGATTGATCTCCTTCCAAGATGACTGGCTTTGCCGACAAAGGTTAACGACTACGTCTGCACTTGAGTTTGTGGTCACTCATCCAGTGCCTGTGCTGGCACTCTTTGCTGCAGTATGCAGTCTGCCAACAGCAGTAGAGGATGGCCTCTCCGAAGCACTGGCAGCACTACGCACATCCGAGATAAATTTGAATCAGTAAAATTATTTCAACCAGACAAATCCATGGTTATTGGGCATGCTGCTACACACTGGTGCAAATTGTGCAAAAGTCTATTTTTGAAATGCAAACAAAGCACTTTAAGGCCATTGAGGTATGGTTATTTAGTGAAACAAAACACCAAAGCAAAGTGAAGCCAAGCTCAAAGTTTGTTGAATTACCCAAATTTTGGCTTTGGTTTCTTCAATTGTGATTTTGTGCTGCTGATTTATTTGCTCAATCTCCAAGCGGTGATCCTCTTTGAGTTTTTTCAGCTCCTCGGAGTGAGCTAATTGAATTTTGGCAATTTCAGAGATGTGTTTTTGGCGCAACTGCTCGAGACATTCATTGTTGACGCTCGAACATTCACCCTGAAAAATTTTATGTTTAATAATGCTTTTGATGAGGGGGTAGAAAGAAAAAAAAGATAAATTACAAATAATCATTGTCCAATCTTGATAGAGTACACAAATCAAAAGGTTCAATTTAAAAAGTTAATAAACTAAGGAAGCAAAAGGGGCTTTCATCGATTTACATTTGTGGCGTTGCTTGACGAGACGGCGTCCTCAGAGCTCTCCTCCTAAAGCAATGAATTAAGTTCAAATTACAGCTATTATTTTTAGACATACCACAGTTACTTTGCAATTGTCAGATGAGGTGACGGAGTTGCGGTTTGAATCTAACTCTGGAGGCATGTCAGTTTTGCCCTCGACTGGCAGCTCAGGTTCAGTTTTTTCCTCTTCCTTTGGTGGCTAATGCAAAAATAATGTTATTATTGAGCCATACAAAAAATGTTGATTGGCTGGAAAATAATTAACTTCTATTCAAAATAAAAGATTTGGTTGCTATCAAGAGACAATAAGAAAAAAATGAAACATCAAGTTCTTTTATTTTAATTTAAGAAAATAATAATGCCAAATTTGTTTTGAATCTTATTCCAGCCTTCAATTGAGTGTTACAAAAACAGTGCAATTGTGTGGATGAATAAAGAACAATAATAATGATAATTGCTAAATTCGATAAACTTACTTCCACTTTTTCAGCCACTGCAGTCTTTGTACTCTGCTCTTGTTTTTTGGCAGTCTAAAAAATTCAAACAGGTTTGACAGTTAAAAAAATAAGCTTTTTGGATTGAAGTACCTTCATCCTCTTCTTTGGTGGACTGGCAGTGTCATGTTGAGCTTCACTTTTGACCACAATTTTCGGTTCTGGCTGTTTCATCTGCTCAATATGGTTTGCAAGCTCGTTGAGCGCAGAGTTCAGTTTGGCTGTTCTCTTAAGGCTCAGGGAAGTGACGGGCGTGTTGATCGGCTTCACGAAGGCCTCCTCGATCACTGCCCTCTCATAGGGGGCACCAAAAAAGCGGACGTCATACTTGACCTTTTTGCCTTCCTCTCTCTTCTTGATAACCTAAGAATAATCATTTTTCCTTCAGTTTAACTTCAAATTCATTAACAGGCAAAATACTACCTTGGCCGGCCAGTAACAATAGCCCTTCTGCTTGGCATAAACGAGCTTGTGAGGAGGCTCGCAAGGAAGGCAGTACCAATTATCTGGCTGCTCGTTTGAGTTGACAAAGCATTGCATGCAGTTTTTAATTTCTACTGCATCATGTTCCACAGCCTTTAACATATTCTTCAGAGGAGGAACTGCAGCTGTGGCGTTTGCAGTGTTGCCTGCATGATCATAAATGTGAGCTATGTTATATGCAATTTTCAAGATCAACATTTAAATCAATAATCAAAAGAAAATTAAAAAAAGGATTTTTCTTTTTAACTTTAAATCAAAAGATAGAACGGAAAACTGACCAAAGTGGTACCCTGCAACGTTGTGTAGAATGGTTTTGGCATCAGCAACAAATTCTATAACTGTCTTGTACTCCTTATCCACAGTTTTCTGAACCATCCTTTCAATGCTCATTGGCATGAAGAGCAGAAGATTTTCACGGTAAGGCTCGACTTCAGCGTCCACCAAAGTGGGATTAGTAGATCGAACCAAAGGACCAGAAATCACTTTGCGGAGGAAAACATTCTCAGGCACCTACCGAAAGAAATTAGCCTTCTAGCAACTCCTAAAATTGTAATTCCTACAAAGAATTTGACTCTTTCGCAGACAAAACCAAGACACTTGTTCAATATTTCACGGTTGTAATTTGTCGAAGCAAGCTCTGCTGCTACCTCCTAGGGTTAAATTGAGAATAGAATTAATATACAGGATGGACACATACCACGCAAACTGGGCATTTCAGATTGTCAACATCATTTTTAAATTCCTCAGGCAAGCAGTCTTGATGGTAAACTCGGTGGCACGAATTGCATCCAAAGACGCATCCCTTTCCGTGGCACTCAAAGCAAAACCAGTCCCACCCATCCCTAGGCTAATTGGTGAAAATAAAAATTAATACCACTTGCGCAGTTTATATGAATAATATTTACCACATCAACAGCAACAACGTGGATATCAATCATTTTTCCGGTCATCTTTCCTCTGACGCACTGCTTGTTCTCCCGAAGAATAATCTTGTCATCCAAGCACCTCTCCAGCATCAGGTTTACAGTTTCTGAAACAATAATAAACGCCAATTATTATTACTTATCTTTAAATCAATTGTGAACTACTTGAAATGCTCAAGTTCCTTTTTCCTGTAAATGAAAGATGTAACATATTTGTACCTTCGTCATGTTGATATCTAGACTTTAAGAAGGTTTGGATCCTCTCTTGAGTTGCCTGTTGTCTCATAATGTCTGATGTCCAGAAGGAAATGGCATCAAAGACCTGATGAGCCTCCAGAGGCCCACATCGACGCCTAACCTTTTTTATGGGCCGCTGCGCTGCTTCCACAGTTGGTTCTTTCTTCACGCTTGCCATTTTTCAGTTTCCTTGAAGAGAAAAAAATAGTACTGTGTAATAAATTAAGTTTTTTTAAATCATTTATAAAATTATTTGTAATCAATATTTCAAGAAAATATGTAAAGCTAGATTTATATGTACATAAAAAAAATTTAATGAAAGAAAAATAATTCCTCTTTTAAGAAAATATTGCAATGATCAATTAAGGACTTGAATTAATTATAGAGATTTTTTACAAAAAATAATGTTTATATTCCTTGATTTTAAAATTTTGATCAAATTATTGATACTTCTTAAACATTCATCAAAAAAGTTTTCATAAAAATATTTAGTTTTAATTTTTCAAAAAGATTAAAAAGACCACCGAGATTTATAATACACCATTTCGACGCGAAGCATGAAAATTTATGGTCGCGACCTTCAAACAAAAACGAGATAAAAACTTTGCCATTTTGTACTCGCGGCACTTTCGGCCAAAATCGATGTCCCGTGGTCTCCAGGCCGTGGCACAGGACCTGCATCTCTTAGAAATTCGCGAAACGGTAACTTTGAAGGTGATGCCCTTTCAAAATCTAGGCGTAGAACGCGTTAAATGAACAATTTTGTGCACGGAATGAAGAGGCGGAGGTGCACCTTGAAAATTTTGCGCTCCAAATGTGCACCGATGCACCTGCACCGTGGCCGAAAAGTGCCGTGTCATTGATCACAGGGCTGCTTTGCAACCTCAACTGCACTCACCTGATGAAAAAACAAAGGAAATCAGGAAAGAGCGGCGCCAATTTCACTTAGAATCCATGAAAAGAAATTAAAACAAGAAGTTGATATGTGACGACACCGAAGATTGACAATAACAAAGTAAATAACGATGGACACCAGCGCCACTGCACGGTTTTTGACGGAATCGGTGCAAATCGGCGCTACATCACGAGATTTTTTTTGTCGATAAACTCCTTTTTGCTGTGAATTATCTGAAGGTAAAAACCTTATTTACGCTAAACAAAAAGAATGTTTGCAAAAAGGAACAACAGGTTAATCCCAGCAGTTTCCAGATCTTGCAGGAATCTTGCCCGAATTATTTTGACGTATAAAAATTATGTTTTCTATGTTATTTAACATCGTAGCATCGGTGGTTCAGTGGTAGAATGCTCGCCTGCCACGCGGGCGGCCCGGGTTCGATTCCCGGCCGATGCATCTTTTTTAATTTTCCGGACATATTGGACGTTGAAGAGATGCCAACATTTATAAATGAATAAAATGAATTGAATTTTTAACTGCTTTCATTTCTGATTGTTGATTTTTTTATTTACACCCTACTTTTTGCGTGAAGTTTCTAATTTTGTAAACAAAGAAAACCTGATGAAATTATTCTTTAATTTCTTTTTCTACTTAAATTTTTTCTATGTAAAAGACTGGTTTATTTTTAAAGTAAATTTGCAGATTTTTTTCTTGCTAATGAAGTGGGATCAAGGAACTATACATATACATAGTTGTTTTCTTCCTCTCTTTTATGTAAAAAAAATGTTTTCATTTTCAAAGCCCGTTTCCCTCAATTACAATGGAATTTAAACTCTCCTTACTCCATTACACTTGATTTATCTATTGAAAAGCTCCCATTGTGCTTGGCAATACTAGGTCATTTTTATTACAAAAGGAACATTTTATATACAATAATTTGTGATGTACAAAAATGAAATTCATAAATTAAACAATTAAATCCAAGCAGACGAGTTTCAGTCTATCACAAGCGAAGATCAGTGAACGAGTTGACGACGGAGTGGAAGTCCTCGTTGGCCTGAACTTTTCCTACTCCGTCCAAGAGCTCGTTGCACATTTCAGGTGCTACCGAACTTATCAGTTGCAGACACTGTCGGATCAGTTCTAGAATTTGGCACTTTACGTCCTGGTTGACTTTGATGGCTGGCTCGGCCTTGGTCACGGCTAGTAGCAGTCTCAAGACGGTGGTCAAAGACTGGCTGGCATAAGTGCTGGCACGTGGCCACGTCTTTTTCAGGAAGATCAGCAGCGCCTGCAAATCAATTTTCAATTTATTATTTGATCTTGCAATCAGTCCTGTGAAGCAAGGGATACATTTTCTGACTATGCTATTTATGAGAAGAAAGGCTTGAATGCGGATGGTTTTATTTATTTATTTAATATTTTAATACATTCCATTAATGTAATTTATCATATAGTGCGTCTGAAATTATTATACTTCAGCCATTAATTTTTTTTCTCTCAATTAATTTAATTGACAACAAAATACTAATTACCTCAAGGGCATATTTTTGTGTGATTCCTCCGGACTCGTCTTCAATGGTTGTGTACTCAGCAACGATCCTGAGAATTTTCTGTGACCAGAGAGCAAGACAGATGGATCCAGCCTCCAAATACAGAGGCAATGACTCCGCATACGCTTGTCTCAATTCTAGACCCTGTTCCAGCTCCATTTGACCCAACAGCACATTCAGTGCCTCGTCATAACGGCCCATCTAAAAGAAAAATAATATGAAAAATCATGGCATACCCAGCTAGGTAAGTGAACGCCCCCAATATACGCAAACAGAAACTCAGAAATCGCTTACGTTAGCTTATTTTTAACAAAGGAAAAAATAAAGTGTTCCAAAAGCTTTATTTGTAAATATTTGGCCTAAAAGAAATAACATAATTTTGAATTTACATAAATGAACTTTGACGCTTTGGAGATCTGTGCAAACTTTCGGAGGTATTTAACGGTGTGGTGATTCTTGCTATTTCATTTTTAAAGGACCTAATATCTTAGTGGGATTTAATGAAAAAATCCTTTATCAAAGCTATTTAAAAAAATAATAATTATTATCATTACTCTATCTAAAAATATAACTCGATCCTGGCAGGATTCGAACCTGCAATCTTCTGATCCGTAGTCAGACGCGTTATCCGTTGCGCCACAGGACCTGTTATAAGATCATGAAATCTTCAGACTAGTATTTTGTAATAATAAACTAGACGTATTTAATTACATTGAACTAAATTTAAAAACCAGCAAGCAGTAGGCTTAATTCTAACACTTAAAGCGACTTAAAGGTTAGAAAATTTGCTTCTGTATCAAACAGTCGTGTTTAATCATTTGTTAAATTTTCTAAAATACTTTTTGTATTGGATAAATAAATAGATTTTCAATAAATCACCTTTTTAGGGCTTAACTGAGTTACCCAAATGTATATTTTAAACAATGCAATCTACATGGAATAAATATGTTATGGATCTGGGCAATGCTCTCCCAGCAGCAACAAAGAAAAATGATACTGCACACTGAATTTATATAAAATCTTTTCTGCAATAATGACTAACCATTGAATTTTACTATTTTTAATATTGAAGATCTTACCTCAAAGGGCTGGTTGAACCTGTGGTCCACTTTTGAGACAAGAGCCGAGAGACACTTCACAACCACTCTGACAAGTTTTGCTTCTCTCTCGTAAATCAATCTTTGAAGAATGTCAAAAATGACATGATCGTACTGGTTTCGTTGCAATTCTGCCCGCGTCTATTAATTAATTATTATGTAAATGTTAAATCTGCTTGATTTGTGAAGAAAGAAAAAACTTACAACATTTTCTACAAGATTTTCCATAAGCTGGCAGCCTAAGATTTTGTTCTCGGTCTCCCAATCATCCAAAATTACCAAAACAGCCGGGAAAAGCCTTGGAAAATTTGTACCAATAGTCGGAGACTGCATGCAATTGGAAATTTTTAATTAATTTCAGACAAATTAAAAAGAACCAAAATAATAAACCTTGATTTGAAAGATGATCCAACTGAAGCACTGAACCAGGGCTGGTCTGCTTTTCCACAAATTAGGGGCCATTTTTGGACAGATAGAGTTCAACAGAATTTTGAGCACCATCGGCTGAGAAACTAAAACTTTGCCGTTTTGAGAAATTTCAATCAGAATTTTCTTGCTGCACTCGGTGGAAAAATTGGATGTCCACGGTCGACTAGCCGAGTGCTCGCCACAAGCCAAAATCAAGCTGACCAATGCCGATTTTTCATCATCCAATAGTTGCTCGACTGAAAACTGGCCGATGCATTTCACCTCGCAGAACAGTTCGTCGAAAATTCGGTTGATTAGCGGAGCGATTTGGGCGAAATCGTCGGCCACGCATGGTCTTTCCTCAAAACGAGCATCCTCAGCCAAAATAACCGAGTCTGAAAGTTTCTGAACCACGGCCCAGGACATCCTGTGTTCGTCCGTATCAAATTCGACAAAATCAGACTGATTTGTTTGGGTAAACTCAACAAGTTGCCGGACATCGGACACTTTCTCATGTCATGACGTGTGTTTTGTTTTCATTTTTATATTTTCATGAGTCTCATCGTCATTAGTCATTTGTTTATGTATTCTGGACGCTGATTGGCTGATAAGTGGTTGGCACGGAAACGGCGCCAACAGACATGGCTTCAGCGATTCAGTGCCGTGCCAGTCTGCGCCAGTATACATTTATCACATTTATACAACCTGCAATAACATTTTTTTTGTCAATTTTTGCATTTTTCCTTAAGAATTATAAAATATCGTTTCAATGCTGAAGCGCAGAGAAAACCTGCTTATACTTCCGTGGCAGCAGCGACGCTTCAAAAGCCACAGAGAAAAGGTAAAATTTTTGAATAAAAAATATCCAAAAGAAAATCAATACTTAATTAATTGGTTGGGTGAAATCTCCAGATAAAATCAGCCAGGCCCGTGATCGACTCGGGACCTCCTAAAGACCGTGGACATGTAACTGTTAAACTGAAAAAACTGCAATGCGAAGAAGAACGTACTGAGAAAATAAAACAAGACAACATTCGGTTGCTGCAGAGGATGACTGCTATAATGAGAACAAGCCGGTTGGATAACCAGTGGATAACTGAGCCTTCAAGAAGGTATGATATGATAAAAAAAATGCATGCAATCGTAATAATAATAAAATAATTTCAAAAATATAATTCTTTAAATAATATGAATAGATTGGGGGGGGGGGGTGTTACAATATCAAAATAAATTTAAACACACAAAGACTTCTTCTATGTATTGTTTTTTTGTTTTTAAATCTTACTGAAACTGCTCTAATTCAAAATAATATGTAAATGTTGAATAAAATGTGTTAAAAAAGTGCTTAAATTTAACTACTTATTTGGACTCACATAGCTTGCTTACAATACTTTTTTTATTCTTAGTAAAATTCTCTATTCACAAACCATTTGAAAAAATAAATAATAATAACCACCAAGCAATGTTACAGTAAGAATCATACAAAAATAAGGATCTTCAAAAAAGAAAACCTGAAGATTCTGAAGAATTTTTAAACCGACATATAATAATAATAATAATCACATTTTCACTCCAATATTGGCATTAACAAAAAAAAATTTTTTATTTCAGTCTAGAGAAGAAAAATAGTATGCCATGCCGAATTGGAATTTATGGGCAGCTGGCTGTAAGTAAGAAGATCAAAGACGAAATGAAGTTGCCAGATCTTGTGGATAAAAAATCTGAATGTAGTGCTTGCAGAATCAAACAGATGCAGAGAGAGTTTGAAGATGTCCAGCCTAAACAAGTGAAACAGAAAAATATTATTTAATTTTTACAATATCGATCTATATTTTTTGCAGGAATATTTGAGGAGAGCAAAAATGGCCATCTTACCAAGAGAATCAGATTTTGACTTGAGCGTCGATGAGAGCCGAAAGTTAAAGAAAGAAAGGCCAAAATCTGCCAAAGGAAAGACAAGATGGAGTGCGCATCCAACAAGATACAGCACCAAACCCGTGGTCAAACTGAGACCGTTGTCTGGTAACAAGGTTGTGTTCACTCGAGGTCCTCTAGAAGTCAGCGTCAGTTACCCAAACCACACACAAGTGGTACTGAAAAGGATCGGCTCCGAACCCAGAATCATCGATTCAGAGTTTTGCCAGTGCAGAGCTCCAAAACTGAAGGAAGAAAACAAAATAGTCAGCAAATAATAATAGACAGTGATTGAATCCATGTCATGGTAAAAATAATATTTAATTAATGCAAAAGAATTTACAGTACATAATTTGATTAGGATTTTAGCTTTCAATTGATAATTTTATTAAATTAGTTGTCAGTTATACAATATAAGTATAGTATATAAGCAAATCTTTCAATGCTTGATAAATTAAAAGCATTTAAAAAAAAGAAAAATAATTACATTAAAAGAAAAAAATCTGGCTTAGAATGGAAGCAGCCTTAAGCTTTGCAAATCAAGGTGTCTATATAGGGAGCTCATTTTAATTACCTGTTTAATTTGCTACACGAACCAATTTGGTTAAATAATATATGAAATGCGGTGAGATTGTGTGTTTCTCAGATCACAGACTAACCAATTGGGTAGAACAAACAATAATAACAAAAATAATAATGGCAGATGCTGAAACACTAAACAAAATTACGTACATTCACTTTTATTGTTTGTCCACTTCTTCTTTACACTGCGGCAGGTTCAACAATACCCGGGTGTTTCAACCTTAAATGAGTGAGCATGTAGGGCCGCCTGCTGAACACCTGATTGCACACTGGACAGGTTGTTTTTCCTAAGTGGACGTTGTAGTGGTGGATGAGAGACGTCTTGCTTTTGTAGGATTTTCCGCATTTTTCGCAGTGGTGAACCGCGCCTTCATCCACGTTGGATGCATTTTCTTCACCGTGGAAGGTGGCGTAGTATTCGCTGTTGTACATTTCAAACTCTTCGTAACCGAATTCATCATCCTCCTCGTCAAAGTCTTCTTCTAGCTCAATAAGCTCCACGTCATCCTCAACTTCTGCAGAGAAAAGTAGAAATTTTGAAAATTAATGTTTTGTTTTTTTTAATTAAAATTCTATTCTCTAATCAATTTCAAGCTGAAAATTAAACCCTAGTTTATTTTTAAAATTTATTTTAAATTTAAAAATAAACAAGTTTTGCACAGTATAAATATACTCAAATTTAAATTAGTTCATATATAGTTAGCATTGCAGTAATCATGTAAATTTATTTACCAGTCCTGTAAAAAATGCTATTTTTTTATTTATTTTAACATCACTACCTAAGGGATTGTAAAAAAATGAAGCCACTTTTTCAACAGAAAATTTTTTATCGTTTCCATCAGGTTGTAATAAGTATACTAATTAGTAATTACACACGGTGTGGAATACAATTTGATGTCAATATAGATTGAAAAGTCACTAAGCAGTCTGTTTTTCAATTTCCTTTATCTTTTCACTTTTCTTATTTATTTGGCAGATACTCCTCTTGTGATACGCAAGACGGCCTTTGGAAGAGAAGTTGCGTTTGCAGCGATGGCAGCAGAATTTAAAGCGGTGCGTATTTTGGTGCATCAGGCAGTGTCTCTTCTTTGCAAATTCCCGGCCGCACTTATTGCATAGAAAGTTTCCATCGCGCACCACCACCCTCAAACGAAGCACGTCCCTCAGTTTGCCAATTTCGGCCCTGCCCAAGTACGCAGGTTCCGGACTGGATTTTTTATTTTCTGGCGACATATGGCACTTAACATCAGATTCATTTTGAATTTTGACTTTAGGTTTCGGACCAGGCTTTTTCCTCTCAATTTTTTCAATTGCTAGTTTCTGATCCGTATCAGGAAATTCGGTTTTGATTTTTGGTTTTGGGCCGGGTTTCTTTTTCTGAATCTCCTTGACTTTGGGTTTACGTCCTCGTTTTTTTGGCACATTTTCATCAACCTTGAGTGCATCCTCTTTTCCGGTTATTTTAACTCTGGGGCCCAAATCAACAACTGGTTGTAATTTCTCTGGCTGGCCAAGACTGACGGACCTTCGAGGGCGGCCTGATTCCCAGAAATATTCACAGTTGTCACCGTTTTTGAGCGTGATCTGATCGAAGTGCGACGTGTTTGCCACCAACTTTTTGACCTGCTTGGTCACAGTAAAAATTCTGCGTCGCCGCACTTTCCGAGTGTGGACCATTTCAAACTGGTGTGACGGGATTGAGAAAGCGTTTTCGATTTGCCAGCACTCATTTTCGTGGCGCCCGAAATGCGCAAAGTCCTTGGAAAAGTCCTCGTAGAAGCCGATGAAGTCTGCAAAAATATAAAAGACTTCAGTCGCGCACTCTCCATTTGAATTTGTTTTTGTTTCGTTTTCTTTTTTTACTGACAACAAGGACAGATTGCATGCGAAGAGGTTCATAAAATTTTGCCGAAATGTTGATCATAATTTTTGCTTACTTTACAACTTGTACTGAACAAAATTTTTTGTACCTCTTATTGTTTCTGTACACAAATTTTTTTATAATAATTGTAAAAAATAAGAAAAAAAATTAATGATTAAAATTAGTTACTTTTTCTTATTAAGTACTGTATTCAGGCATTCAGAATAAATTACCTATATTACCCTTTCAAATAGAATATAATATGGCAGCATAATATATGTGGCAGAATATACAATGTTCAGGTTATTAGTCAATTTGATCTGATTTTAAGATTTTATTTAGCAGGTTTCAAAGCTTTCCGAAATAAAAATGATTGTTCACTAAATTAAATGATTTTTAATTTCTAGTTATAATTTTGATTCACAGAAAAGACCATGAACAAATCGTTTCAAAAATTAAATTTTGTAATATTTATTTATTATGAATACTCTAAATTTGGATATCTAACCTACTTTCTTAAATTATTTTGCTTCCACATACTTTTATATTATAAAATTCGGCAAACTCTTCACATTTCATTTATCTTGCTTTGCAGATATTTAAGTTTATCCTTAATTGTTACGTAGGGTCGGTTGATTGAACGGGTGTGTCTCTCAATAGTGTGTGGCGGGGGGTGCGTGGTGACGCAGATAGTGCTTCTTGAGGGCGTCGGGGTGGCACAAGTTCTTTAAGCACACCGGACACGTGGAGCGGCCCTCGTGCACTGCAAAGTGCCGCATGCACGAACTTTTGTGCATGAATTTGGCGCCGCACTGGCTGCACAAGTATTTGCCTTCACTATCGCTCCACAGCGGTCGCAGCACCTCTGCAAAAAGCCACAGCCCATTAGTGTGTGCCTCTCCGCGAACCGAATTCATTGTCTACATAATTCATAAAAGCAAAAAGACTGAAAAAAATATAATAATGAAAGAAAAAAAAATTACAAAGGCTTCAGTGAATTGGGCATTCAACAATATTTTTAATATTAATTATGCATTTTTTAGATCACCAAATTTAAGCAGTTTGTGCAGTCAGTGCTTGGATGGATGACCGCCTATCGTGACTTGCTAAATTTCCACCTTTCCTGCATATATGATAGGCTTCACAGGGCAAATAAAAGTCCCCGGAAGAGAGGCAATTTGACCAAATTGCAAATGGGTGGCCGCCGTAGAGAATTATATTGCAGAGGACGGTGCCACAAATCAATAAATATTGATAAAAATAAGCAGCTGGGCTCCAATGTGGCCCTGGTGCACCCATGTTATCTGCTAGCCAGTGTTATTGGGAACCCGAGTTTCAGCAGAACTTGCCCTTCCCAGCCAGGCAAGGGAGAAAAGCGTAGATTTTCAATAATTAAGTAAAGAAGTTATTAAGCAAGCTTTTTCAACAAGGTTCTCAATTCGTGTTATTTAACACCTTACTTGCATATTTTTGTTTTTGCAAAGCAATATACTTAAATGAATTACAGTATTAGCTTTAATTTTATTCTGTTCGACATATAACCTTTTGTAATTTCACGTGAAGCAGGTCTTTGAGTACCTTGAAAAGGTGCTGCTTAAGGGCGTATTTTTGGTTCAGGTGCTTTTTGCATAGCGCATTGAGAAAGATGGCTTCTCCTAGAGCTGCAAAATTTTAAATTTTTCAGTGACGAATGCGTCGCGGCAAAGAAGCTGCCAACGCGCTTGACCGCCTGCAGCTGTTTGCTACAAAGAAAAACTCATCCCGTTCATTTTATTTTATCTTAACTCGCGCGACTCGCTTAACTTAATATTAATTAAATTAAATAATTAAATTTTATCTAGGATTTTGAACAAAATAAAATGTGGCTCGGTTGTACAATATTGGGTTCCTGAGTTTTAATGAACAAGCACTTACAAAATTAGAAGCTATCAACACTAATCACTACAGAAACAATATTACTTGTGCTTTTATATAAAACATCGATATCTACGTAATTGCTTACATACTGATTCCAACTAGACATCATGTCATGCTCAACGTGACAATGGAGAGGCGCGAATATGTTTATTCTCTCTCGTATAATATTGTTATCTAAATATTGTATATATGTAATATAGTTGCATTTTCTTATAGAAATTAATCCACTGAATCATAAGGATCACATCTGGCCTGCATTTTATCGATTAATTAATTGTATACACAGCGTCAGGTTTCAAAATTGGGATTTGGCCTCGAATAAATTTTTCCACTTCTTTCTTTTTGGCCTTTTCAATACTTAATGTTACGATACATTGCTAATTTATCAGGAGGTTGAAAATCAAGGGCCGAAATCTTATATTTTTATAGGTTCAACAAAATGACTTCAACATTTCAGTAATTTTCAGTTTTTTACATAACGAAAAAATTGTTTTGCTTTATGATAATAATAAACTTCCACTCCTTCCAGAGAGGAGAAAGAACTAATATTTAAAATCTGAGTGAGCTCTACTAGATGACCCTATTGAACATATAAAAATCGCAATTGGGTATCATGAAATTTTCCCTTGACAAATTAAAAGTTTAAATTATATTTAGGAAATAAAATTAATATGAGGTTTTCAATTTCTTTATCAAAAAGTTTGAATCATTTCTTTGGGGGAAAACTTTGCATTGATGCGATCAAAGTCATTGTAGAGTTTTTCTTCTCTCTAAAATTAAAACTAAAAAAAAAAAAATGCAAAACGTAAATGAGGAGGGTTGAAGTGGGATTTTGGCGCACGTCAGTGCAGGAAGATGTGTTGGCTCTCAGAAGGTGTTGTGGACGACCCTGAGGTGGGTCTGCAGGTTGCCCACGCTACTGAACAGTTTGCCGCAGACGGCGCACTTGGTGCGTCCCGAGTGCATCTCCATGTGCTTTTTTAAGTGTGACACCGTGCAAAAGGTTTTGCTGCACACGCTGCACGTGGTTTTGCCAAGGTGCGACTTCATGTGCGTCTTGCAGTCGTCTTTGCGCGAGTAATTGCGCCCGCAAAAGCTACAAAGGAAGCGGCCGTTTATCTCGACGGCGCGCATTTCAACAAACGGCAG